CAGGAAGCACCAGGAATGTGCAAACAGGTATTTTTTTTTACCACCAGAGGCAATATTCCATAGTTAACAGTGCACTCTTCTTTCTCTCGCTTGCCAAAGTAAATTGCTAGTAAGCCTTTTAAAAATAGAAGGATCAAATAAACATTAAATGTCATAGTGAGATTTCTAAAGCAAGAATCATCTGCCATACTGTTGCAGCACATGGATGCTTTCAGTGTGAAACTGAGTTAGTCCATTTCTCACAAGCAGTCAGCACTTGCAAAATGCTTTTCCCAGACTCTCCAAGGGCTCACCTCTGAAATCTATACTGGATACCAGAGACCCCAAAAGGAGCAAACCTGATTCACCCTATGTCAGCTAAAGATTATAGGTCTATAGTCTGGTACTGTGGCAAATTCTGGTTCTCTGACAACTGGTTTTGGAAGCACAGTCTTCATTTAGAAGCCAGGGAGGTCACTTGCTCTTGTTGAAGCTGTGAGATATCTCAACATTATTCTGCTCTGATCCAGAACCCTCATAGCTGCAGTAGCTAGATGTCCACAACCATGCCAGAAAGCTCTGGCACAGCAGTTTACTCGACCAGCTATATGATTTCAAGGATAGGGCAGCTGGACAATGCTTTTCATGACTTAGGTTGCTGATTTATCATCCTGATCAAGAAAAGCAAGGCAGTCCTTTTCCTTCTCTTTATTTGAACCAAATTCTTCTTTTCAGTTTTCATTTCAGGTCTGCTCTAGCCCAAACACTTTCAAACACTGCAGAATGTTTATTTGTGCTAGGATGCTTTTCTAATCAAATGTGGAAACCCAACATAAACCATATCTATCTGGAAGTAAGACTTTAATAAGTGTAGCTTTGCAGGAATCTTGATTTTGTATCAGCTGTCTCCATTTTACTTCTCTCTCTGTGCATACTTACAATTTACATAACACACCACAATGAGGATCTGTAAAACCAATCCTGTATTTATGCAGGAGTGTTTTATGTCTATTATGTAACCTGTGCACCTTGCCAGCTTTGACTCCTGTAAAAGCTTACAGAAAGAAAAAGCACTCTCAGCACTGCCAGCAGCTCTGAATTTACCTTTCTTTCTTGCAAATTCCCACTGGGGGTAAAGCAGAGGGGCCAGGGGTGTCCCTGTCTCTTGAAGGAGGCACAACACAAGCATTGCAAACCAAACAGGGCAGATCTTTTTACTTCTGTCTAATCACCAGAGTTCTGGAGGCTTTTAAGATGCAACCTTCAACTCCAGAGTCTTCTCTTCTTTTTATTCCAAGACAGATTTATAAAACTTGACTTTTTTTTTTACTTCCCTCCCCAGTGTCTCCTGCTGTTTCTCAGTGCAATTCTCTACCAGGTGACAGATGCATTTCAGGTGTGTTTACTTGGGGTGCGTGCAGACCAGGCATTAGAAGGTGCCCACGTCTGGCCCAGTGGGTGTGAACATACATCTCCATAAATCCTCCTTTATAATGTGACTGCACCCTGCCACTCACCTGAGTCCCAGGTGCTACCCTGATCTTCAGTTTTCAATCTAGCAGTGAAAGACAAAGTACATTTTTGGCCTATAGGTCATACAGAGAAAAGACGGTGGGTGTTCTGTCCCAGGTTTTGTTATATTTTGGCATTCACATTCCTAAACATGCATTATTAATGTTCAAACACATCATACTTTTCACAGTCTTGTTCCATGCACTGCCTGATTTCCCACAGATTTAAGTCCTGCCTCTAATGTGCCCCTCTGCAGACATCTGACATCCACCCTGGGTCTCCATGACCTCCACTTTCTCTGGATATCTGCACTTCTGCCCTCACTCTCACCTTTGTGATATTTCCCAGCTCTTTCCTTTGCTGCCATCTTTCTCCCTTCCAGTTTTCTGCTGAGCCACTTGCATCTCTTTTGCCAAGGTTCTTCAGGCTCTCCAGTATTTCCATTTCACATCTCCAGCTCTCTGGCCAGTAAGCATACAATGTGCACAGGCTTGTTAACTACCTATCCTCTAACACAGGGAGCCAGGAACAGCAGCTGAGCCTTGATTGTGTTTCCCCCCAGCCACAACAGGGGCTGTGTGGATGAGTACCCCTGCTACCAACTCTCTTGAGACATTTCTGACTCTAATATCATTGAGATTTCACCTTCCATGTTTGGTTGAAACTGGCTAACATACAATAAAAGATTGGTTGGAACTGGATAATATATTCAACAAAACTAAAAGGCAGGAGGAGAGCCAGAAAACCACCTAAATGCCTAAAATTCCCACATCCATTAAATGCAATATCTCCTTTTAAAAACCAGTTGGATTAAAACTAATGATAATTTTAAAAGCTGGTGTATTGTCTGTACTAATGCTTAAGGTCTGAACTCTAATATCCATTTGTTTAAACAGAGTCATTATACTTACTTTCGTTTTCCATCAGACATTCTCCTTCTTCTTCCTCTCCTCTCAACACCCTCTGTGAATGGCCCTGGTAAAAGTCTCCACCACCTTCCCAGCACCACATCTTCAGCTGGCCAGAAATGAAGGAATAGAGCATTAAGTTACACCTGATCTCCCACAGAATTCATGCTGTGTATCCCTCCCATTAGAGCACTCCCAGCTGAAGGTGGCTTGACATGGCCAGCTGAGGTAACAGAAAAAAGCCCACTCAAAGGACAGCTCAGTCTCCTCCTTCTTCCCCACCTTCATCAAACTAAATAAAACACATTCTTCCTTTGTGAACCTTTCACTCCTTTCACCAGAAAAAGAAATCTCATTCTCATCCTGATTCACCCACAACATGGCAAATCTTGAGAGGAGGTATCCAAAGCATTTATGGTGACATATGGCCTCCAGATTTAGATCAATTGAAAGATGTTGTACAAAAGTGTGTACAGAATGGTTTGAAAAAAATACAAAATGCCATGCTGATGCTGTAAGTGATTTCAGAAAGCATCAAGGCTGGATAATCTTGCCCTGGCCCTGACACAGGGATGGTGTTGCAGTAGTGTCAGGATGCTCATAAAGATGTAAGGAAACCCTCGGGGAAGCACACAGGGCTCATCAAGGAGCAACAAACCCATAAGTGCCTTCCTGGAAGAGGGATGGCTGCAGGAGCACACTCCTGTGCCTCACTCCTTCCCAGGATATGAGATTTTACTTCACTCTCAAAAGCCTGAAAATCTGCAAAGATAATGAAAATATTAATGCAATCTGAGCTACCTCAGTACTAATGGGGCTAACTACTAAAATATCATGAAAAACATCATGAAGCATTTTTTTTAATTATTTTTTTTTATTTTTATGTACTAACCACGGAAGAAGGTAATTTACCAAAACCATTCACTACATCTAACCAATACCTTTGTACATCACAGGAATCCACAACTAACTGATGAATGCTCATAAGCTGTAAACCATGACTCTCCTTGTAAATATTGTAGTGTCCAACAGGGCTGCTAAGCACGCTGCAAGAAAAATCAATAAAAATCAAAAAGAAAAGAAAGATAAGCTAAAAACACTTCAGAAGTAACAGAAAAAGCCTTTCACTCTTTTTCACCTTTATGTTGCTTTCCTTCCTTTCTCTGGAAAAAAAAAAAAAAAGGAGAGTCATGCAGCTATGTTGTTATGAACTGCAATCTGGTTGGATCACAGTGTTTCACTGTGTTCATCCTAATTCCAGCTGAAATGGCAGATTCCTAACGGAACAGTGAGGTACAGGGAAGGTTATCAGCTCAGCTCAGGGCGTTGTGCCCCTTCAATCAGAACTGAACCAATGTACCATTAAACTCCTGGGTGACACAAAGCTTCTGTTTCAGATAAGCTACAGCTCAGAGAAAACTGATGGGCAGTATTGCATTGCTGGAGCAGTAGGGATGGGGCAGGGAAGAGAAGCTAAGCAGCCTCTCCCCACCAGGTAGCAAGGAAAACAACCTGCACTGGTACACAGTGTGCCTCTGAGGGCTCCCTGTCATGCCCCTGTTAAAAGTTCAGTTCAGGAAACAAGAAGTACATTTTCTGCTTTGCGTCAGTTGTCACAGAGTGGCTTCTCCCGACCATTAGAACTAGAAATACTATCAATAAAAATACAAAATCATGATCCTGACTGACTGCTGCTATTGACATAGGATATTAGAGACCTTATCAGCATTGTGCTACCCAAGTGCTGATGCAACTGTCTGCCTGATTATATTTTTTCTAAAGTAAAGGCGTGAATTTCCCACCCAATGAACTTGTATTTTGAGTCTCTAAAAAAACCCCAACAATATGAAAGCAATGAGCTATTTTAAATGGTGAATACCTCAAGGACAACAGAACACAAATGAGCCTTTACCTGAGAATCATAAAACATTTTAAAAACAGTAATGGGTGAAATTCAACCTTGCAAAGGGGGGCAGCACAGGCTGTACATCACTTAAGTCCTATTTAAGGCCTCAAAATAGAATTTAGGTGAAACTCAGCTGGTGCATGACATTTGTGCTGACACTGTGCAGAGCCGAGTGCCACCTGTTAATGACTTAGCCCTCACAAGCAAACATTCCTTTGAGGATCATTACTTTTATTACATTCATAGCTTTTGGGAAAAAAAAAAGACTGTTTTTTCACTGCCATTTCACATTATGAGGAGCCTGGTGGCACAGTCATCTTCTATGACATGACAGCCTGTCCCCTCAGCTGTGCTCCCCTCTTGTTACCTGGGTCAGCAGAAGTATCACCACTGAAGACCTTTTATCATGAAGCTGCAGGCTCAGTTAATTGATTGCACGAGCCAGCCAGTGCTCACTGATACATCTTTTAGTGCTGGGTGTGCAGGGCAGTTACTCAGTGGAGATTTGCTGCTTCCCATTCCAACAACTGTTGCTCCTCTCTTCGAGAGAAATTCCCGGGGGAGTCAGGAAGAGCCCCCAAGGAGAAGAATTAAACCAAAGCAACCAGGAACAACAACAAAATCTCTGATAAACCAGAACAGAACAGGATGTAAGTGCTGCTCTCTAAAGCTTTCCATTTACTTCACCCTTTCAGAGCAAGCTTTGGAAATCACCAGCCTAGAGAACGGGGGTCTCTGCGACGTCCGAGCTTCCGACTGCACCAGGATCAGGGTGTTTGGCCTTGGCTTCAAAGAGTCACCCAACCTGCACTGTGAGGTCACCAGGTTAATTGTAAGTAACCTCCCATGGGTTCCTGAAATACTGATGACACAGGCAAACTTTGACATCTATGTCCTAAAGTCTTTTACCCTGAGCTGTGTCTCACTGCCGCAGACGGGTGCAAATACCTTCCATACCCACTGCTGAGAGATTCGCTATGAACAGGGGAGCTGAAGAGGCTCAGCCCTTCCAGGACTGACTCCTTGGAAATGCACAGCTATGTGTCTTTGCTAATTTTCTCTGTGGAGTTTTGTTTAACTCTTGTTTGGTTCAGCTGCACTGTAGTCCAATGAAGCCTAAAATCATGATATTACTTCTCATTTGGTGCATCTGGAATGGGTATGCTTGGTGGTTTTTCTGAACACATTTGAATGCTAAGTTTTGTGGTTAAATATAAGATACAGAGGCTCTTATTTGAATTTTTGTAGTCACAGTTCAATACCAAGTCAGAAGTTTTAATGACTTAAACCCATCTTTTCTGCTAAAACTGTAATTTTCTTATAATAAACTACACATGGGCAAAGCTAGAACTGAATTACTTGGTGTATCAGCATACTTAGATATGAAGGGTTTGATTCATCTCATAAATCCACCTAATAAAAGACGATCAGCTTGATTTCCATTCAGTGCTCACATGCAAATGAGGCACAGCACAGATTTGCCTACCATGCCCGTGCTGGGCTCCACAGGCTCTTAACAAGCAGTGATGTCTTGTGCAGCTGATCTAGATAAGAAGCAGACAACACCTTCAGGAGTAAAGAGCTGGCTGCTGAGCTCCAGGAGCAAACACAAAGTTGTTTCACTATGTTGCCCTGTCTCATTCCAGCTGCTCATCCCAACCCCGGCCACAGCACTTCCTAAGTCACCAGAGCACTTGCATGCACAGATGATCATGGCTTGCTCTTTACTTTGGCTGTAGCAATAGCATTATTTCTTTTAAACAAACCATCTGAAAATGCCTTATATTATTAATTAGAAACATAAACGTATGTTAACAACTGGAATTTCTTTACATGAGCCTTCAGTTTCTGCCCTCTCCTTTTGTTTTCTTCTAGCATCTCAATGGTGAATGGATACCAAGAGAACAAGAAACCACAAAAGCAGATTTTCTCAGCTCTGAGGCTGTTGACTGCCAGATTCCTCTCCTGAACATCACAGAGCCAGAGGCTGTGCACGTTGTGGCCGGTGATGAGCCCTTTGCAAGATGGCAAGTGAAAGTAGGAATTTCTCCTGTTTCTAAGAAATTGTTTAGAAGGAGAAAATCAGTTATCATGGTAAATTAAAATGCAAAGCACAATTTGCTTCCCTTCAGAAATGAAAATGCCTGTAGAATTATGTGAATGTCATCTAGGGGGAAAAAAAGCCACTACCTAAAACAATGTAAGTTAAAAACAGGTGTCTTTGTAGGCATTCCAAAAGTGCAAATTAAAATGACTTCTCCAGGTAATCACCTGAGATTGATGTCATTGAACTAATCAATTGTACATTGTTAGTATTTCATTTCTGGAAACTCCAGCTCAAAATCCTGATTTAGCAGCAAATATAAGACAGTTTTCACTCCCTAGTTGCAAGGCTGATACTTGCACAGTACAGGAGCAGAGCACTGGCTGGCTCCTGAACAGCAGGTGAGGGGTGGCATAGCCTGAGCAGAGACATCATGGTCATAGTTCTGGTCTCAAATAATTGCAGAAAGAGGCATGTACAGTACTCGGTCATGCTGGGTTCTCTGCTGTGGTTTCAGTCCCCTTTTTTCACAAAATAATACCTACTTTCTAAATATTTGCAGGAAATCACTCCCTTACTGACCCTGCGCCCACAACCCTTGGTCTTGCTCTCAGCCTGGATGGTAATTTTCTGTAGAATAGTTGGGGTTTTTTTTCAAGACTGAGGGAACTTAAAGGTTCCATAGCTGAGAAAAATACATTACTGTGGTAGAAAGACTGCAGATATGTTTTTAAAATTGCACTATGTCAAAATGAAAAGCATAAACCAGTCACTTCACTGCAATGTTACCTGTCCTGCACCCCACAGTTGTCTGTACCCCAGAGTGGGGACTGTGCTGCCATGAGGCTTAGGGGAAAAAGGAAGCTTTTTCAAACTGGGGTTTGGCAGTGCATATTTTCTACCCTGTAATTTATTTTAAATAGATATTTTAAATAGATAAAGATTTGTGGTTTAAGATATTGGTGTAAGATCTCTGTGGGAGCAGAGCTTGACTGTCAGCTGCTGGGGTGGGCCTTGAACCTTCCTGCTGGAGAATAAGTCATCAGGCTGGGCAGACCCCAAGGTTGGACCAGGATGGCACTTCCTCTGCTGAGGGCTCCAAAATTTCTCCAAGGAGATACTGACCTCTGCCAACTGTGAGAGGAAATGCCACCTCATGATGGAAGGATCCCAGACAGAGGCACCCTTGAGTGTCCTGGCCCAAGAGGACAGCTCACACTATTGCATGGGCAGAGAGCAATTTCTGCTGTGTGTCTAGGATAGTTTCCTTGCCTCTCAGGTGTGTGATGATACAGTTTGTTTACAAGTGCTTCCTTTCAGCCCTGAGGGGGTCTGTACCATTTTTCTTAATTTTCATCTCAAAACACAGGTAGATTGTCTCTTCCTTGCACTCAAGTTAAGAACTCCTTTGCACCTGTAAGCCTTCTGCCCCTTCCCTCTCCTTCAAACCCTGCAGAAAAAACAGGTTCATGGCTCTGCAGCAAACAGACAATTAAATTGTCTCAGTTCAGCCTGACCTGCTCATGCAAGTCCTAGTTCTCCTATGGATCTTTTTGCTGAATGAATTGGGAAGGCAGAGCTCAGCAGTTGGTCTCAGAGGCAGCTGCCCTTACACAATGGCACAGAGAACTAAACAATGGGGCTTTTCCACATAAAAATATTATTTGAAACAAATGGCAAAAATATGCAAAAATTGGTATTCCAGAAAATTCACAAGAAGACTCACTGCAATATTGATCTTCTAGGTTCTGTTAATAGATACTTTAAAAAAATGTAAGTAAATTTCTTTTTCAGAACCAAAAATCGAAACAATTCTTTCTGGAAATATCACTGTTCAATATTCTCAGAATCTCTCCCTCAAATTTCAGAGGAATCAGCAAAGTTTCACAGGAACTTTTTGTCACTACTAAAGTTGAGGGAAAGGGGGCTTGACAAGGTCTTCTCTTGTTTGTTTTATCTGCTTTTATATTCATAGTTCAGATTTTGCTCATCCTTTCCATGAGCAGCTACTGAATGTAGGCAAGAAATTACATGAGGCTACACCAAAGTGTTTGGTATAATTAGTTTAGACATCAAAATGCAAACTCCTACTTGGGCAGCAGATGACTTGGGATGTCCACAAAGATGCCTGGGTGAAGAGGTGAAAGAGCTTGGCAGGCACTCATCTCATTAGGGGAGCAGGTCTCTTGCTTCTCCTCAACTGGTTATTGTTGCCTGTATTTGTCAGCAGCAGAATAAAAATATTATTAAAAAGTCAGTGAGGCAGAAACTGAATTTGAATTCAGCAAGTTTTGCCAGCTTTAATTTTTCATTTACAAACATATGAAGGAAGTAAAATTGTATGTAGATTGTGAGAGATACAAACAGCTAAGATTGTTTCATGATGAATGAGAAGTGATGGATTTCCTGATTGTCCTGACTGCTTATTCAGAAGTGGTTCTGTCTTTCCAGCTGACATGTATGTTCAAGCAATCAAGACATGACTCTAAGAGCACTTTTGGCTCTTAAGGGCCAACCAAATTTGAAGAGAGATTTGCTCAGCTTAGGTCTCATTGAAGAATTTGTTCCACATCACTAGGGTGACTAACAGAAAAGCAATTAAAATAGCTGGAAACCAGTCCAATTCTAAAAAGACCTCAAAATGGATACTTATAATACAATATAGAAAAAAATACAGATTAAAAAAAAAAAAATCAAATTGGCAAGTTACATTTCACTCAGAATGCTCACTTCAGATAGAACAATTAGTGCAATTTAATAGCTGTTTATCTTCTGTGTACCCATTTCTTCACCCATTACTGGTGCACTGGTATTAAGACAACATTGGATGCTCTGGTAAAAGAATGAAATTAAATGTAAATTGCATTATGAATAATATATTTCTAATAGGAGTCTTGCTGTCAATAATCACTGTCTTTCAGTGAAGAGGAGATCTTGAGGGGGGTTACCCATTTTATTTTTTTCTCCTCTCAAATTGCAGCACCATTTCCTTTCTTCTTTTAAAACAGTTTTTACCTTTAGTATAACACATAATAGCTAACATCTGGACTGAGTAGGATGATGATTTTTCTCTTAAAGCTACATCAATGAGTTTTACTTCAATTTAAATAACTCCAGAGAAGTTTTCTCTCTTTCACAATTTCAAATTGTGAGTACCAGTGAATACTGCCTGCTTACCTCCTTGTGTTGCTTTCTGCAGAAACTCTCTCACCTCTCCATGCATTTTGAGCTACAAACTATCACATGTGACATTGTGGGAGTATCTACTGTATTCTGTTCCATGAACTTATGTTAACTGATGCTTTTTGTGGAACTTATTAGAGTATTTTTTCTTCTGTGCACTTCCAGTTATCTTTGTTCAATTCAACATACATTCTTCCTGTGAACTGAAATAAAAAAAAATTACAGTCTTGACCTTGTAAAAGTCTTTGTTAAAGGGACTGAGGATGCTCCAGCTTCAGAGTCACAGGAGAGATGGGAGAGTTGGGGGGGTTGGGATTGTTTTTATGGCAAGAGGACAGAAGGGGCATCTGAGCAATCCAAAGCAAAGGCCTTCTTAAAGCTGCTAAACAGCAGCTTTACTTTGACAGTGAGAAGCCAAAACCTAAAAAATATCTGAAAGAAAGTGCTCTGTTTTCCTTCTGATGTTCATCATGCTTAAAGCATGGCTCTCAGCAGTGTTCTGGGGTGCTGTTTAATGCTGACAGGTCTCAAAAGGTGTCACAAAGCATTGTCAAAGGTTAACCCTTTCCACACTCATCTGGTACCTTTTCATTCTTATTGTGGAAAAATTAAAATATAAACCCTGTTCACCCTTTCTTATTGTGTGAGCATTCAAATATGAAAATGCCATGTGAACTTAAGGCTTTCTAAATTACCTGCATGTATAGGAAACTGAGCTGGGATATAAGATGACTGTTCTTCTAGTGTACCTGCCTATGGAAAAGGAACTATTGCTGTCTGGTATTATCGATTCTAGCACTCATTTTTTAGGGTTCACTTAAAATCACCTAAATAATATCCATTCTTTTTTAATTTAACCCCAAGGAGTTTACTTACTGATTTACCATTAGTAAGAAAGTGGTCCTGAATCTCAGCCAAAAATCTTAATTTCATGTGACAACTCCTTGAAAGATACCCTTGTAGTACTTGAATACCCATGCAGTTTGCATAAGGGGGGGAGAGGTGGGGGAAGAAACCCTCAGAAAAAAATCTAACAGCAATCAGAAAAGTTGAATGCCAGATGAGCCAAAGGATCATTTGGTTATTAAAGAATAGTTTCCAGTTTGGAGCATTAAGCAATTTGTTAGCTTGCAGTAGAGCCACTCACAAGTGGTTTAATTTCTCTCGCTGGCAAGCATCCAGTTCAAGGGTGCAGTGGCGTATGCTCCAAAATGAGCAGACAGTCTCCATATGGAACATTATTGCTTATAAGGATGATTTTTGTATCATTTAGATCACTAACGATGGCTTCCAGTACAGCAATTCCAGAGTGCTGACCCTGTACGACGCTGCCTGCCAGGCCTGCCAATTCCATCCAGCCGGACTTTGTAAATTAAAGGTAATTTAAAGAGTGTAAAGGTTTAATATGGATTGTTCATCTCTTCCTCAGCCCTCTTCCTCCCTTTGACATACTGTGTGTAATAACTGCTTTAGAAGAGGAAAATCTATTTCAGAGGTCAGCTGCACAGCCTAACACATTGCTCTATTTCACAATCTCCTGCCTATGTTTTTTTTTCATATTTACGTGGGGTGTGAATACTCGATAGAGCACTTTATGGTGGACCTTTCTCAAACAGACACTTCCAGAAAGACCATGGTTGACAATATTTCTACTTTGCAGCTGCTAATGGAAGTGAGAATGAGGACTCTCCCCTGAAAGGCAGCTTAACTTCATTCTTGAAGTGTCTCTGCTAGTGAGCAATCACACCCCCCCTCAGCCCCTTTGGCGAGGGCCCTGTAACTGTAAAGTGTGTAATTTCTATACCCATTTTCTGCCTTAGCAAGAGGTTTGTTAAGATGCATGTTTTACAGTTTTTGTCATGTGAAAACACTCTTGAGAGAACACAAAACATCCTTGCTTACATTAAACACTGCTAAGTACAAGCATATAGTATTTGCTTGGTTTCAAAATGAAAAGCAAAAGTCTAGTGCTATGTTTGAAGCTGCCAACCTGCTCAGAATTGCCTGGATAAAACTACAACCCCCCGTCTTCCTGTGGACTTATTAGTGTAGCATCCCCCTATCCTTTAATAAATGAGCTTCCCTGCTCTTGCTTTCCAGAGGGTTGCATTGGACAACTTTTCTGGTTTTCAATGGGGCTTTAAGACAAACTTTTGGAGGCTTTGGGGATATTTGAATGTGCTGATCCTGCTTTCCTACCCTGAGGCAAATATGAATGAATAGGAAACCACCAGTCTGCATTTTTGTAAAATGAAGATTAATCAGGTATATCTTAACTCACTTGCCTCACTGTTTTCATTAACACTAATGGGAAAAGACAGTTTTCAAACTTGCACTGACTGCAAGAACATACCAGTTATCAAAATAAACTGAAAGTTCCCTTTTTTTCAAATGAATCAGTCAATAGAAATTACTTTGTAGCCCCAAATGAGGCAAAACCACTTAAATTTCAGATTAAAAGAATTGTGTCAGAACAATTTCAATTAAAGCTAGGATGGTGGGGGTTTTTTTGTTGTTTGTTTGTCTGTTTTTGTCCAAGGCTTTCCTTACTCTTACATTTTGGAGCTCAGGGGTACACTTTTCCTCAATCTCCTGATGTTCTGTAGGGTTTGTAATAATTTATTTCCAAAGATGCTTCAAGGGACTATTTGAACTAGGCTTTTGATTGCATCAGCCCACATTCTAATTACCCCTCTTAGAACATTACTTTGTAATACCTAAATTGCTTTTAGAAAAGGTGTTTGAATTAGTGGACATTTTATATAGGCCCATTTCACATTCTGTGTTCCCCTTTTATGGAGTCCATTCTATACCACACTATCACACCAGAAAAAAAGCATCTTTTGCATCCAAACATCAAGCCTTTGAAAGCAATAATGTAATAAAATCTAATTAACATCCATATTGTAATGCTGAAGGTCTGTCACATTCTATCATGTCAGGGCAATTTTGAGACTCCTTTTTGTTTGCCTACCTTACCCATTACTCTTAAAGTGGTATTCTTTTAGATATTGCCTAATACATTTTGCAAAAGAAAGTTTGAGAAACTAATAAAGCAGTAGATAAAACCACCAGGCCAGCAATCAACACAAACCAATCTCAGCAAAGTGATACATATTCAAAGGAGGAAAGAGGAAAAAATGTAGTTTGACCTCAGTACCTTCTCCCTCCTGCTGTCCTGCTGTAGCAGTGACATCCCCTTTGCTTCCAACAGAGCCCCAAGTGCTCCTGGCAGTTTGCAATGTCACATAAAGTCCCATCTCCAGGTGTGCCCCAACACAGGCTACAAGCAAAAAGTGTAACTCTGTCATACGACCTTCCCGTGGAGTAGATGTTTAATTACATTCATTAATTATGTCCCTGTATTTGATCCTCAGGCAAACCAAGTTTCCTCAGTTCACCAAAAAGCCAGAGGGCCTTCCTGGCCTTGGTGACCACCCTTATTAGGAGAGGAGCAGGTCAGTTCCAAGGCTGCTGTGCCTGCAGTGCGCTTAATGAACTTCTGCTGGGACGTTCTACCCTACTTAGGCACCATCAATCCGTTTAGCTGCTGTTTACAACTAGCTCACGGAAGCCTAAAACCTAATGCAGTTCTTTATCCTGCATTTATAGCATTGCTTTTTAATATTTTTATGCATAACTTCCAGACATAATGAAGTTACCAGAACAGAATTCCAAAATTTCAAACTGCTTTTTCCCAGTCTCACTTTTTGTAAATCTCACGGAGCTCACTTTTGAGTGTCACCCAACAATCATCACATTAGCAGTCACAGCTGGGAATAATCATCACATAGACTATGTAAGTGTGGAAATGGAAACAAAGAATCTCATTTTGCTGCATTCATCTATAGCAAGTGACATCACATGTTGCCTAAGCTAAAACATTCCAGAAAGCTTGTATGTCTTGTTTTCTCCATGTTGGGAGAAAGTATCCAGCATTTAAATTGCTACTATTTTATTGTTTCAACAGACAGGTGAGTTTCTGCTTATCCACAGACAGTATTAACTGCTAATTTCTTATCTTCCTTTTTTCCTTATCTCCACCTCCCACCCATTTATATTTCCTTTTTTGGCAGGAAAATACCTGTAACATAGATGGACTTTGCTATGGTGAAGGAGAGTCAAGCCCCACCAGTCCTTGTCTGCTCTGTGAACCTGACATTTCTAAGTTCACCTGGTCTATTAATGAAAGTAAGACAATTTTTCCCAACATTTAGAAGCACTTAGATGGGAATTTATTACTTGCTCTGTGAAACAGATGGTTCCTTCATTTGGCTAACACAAATCTATCCTGCACAGTCACGTGTGTGGACTGTTTGCAGTGGGAATAATTGGGTGCATCAGAAATGCTGCCTGAGGAGAAGCAGACAGTACTCCCCTGTGTGCACTGTGCATCTGGGCACGTCTCTTGTTCTGGCTGAAACCTGACAAATCTCAAATTAATAACACCAAAATAACACCTGAAAATGAAATTGTCAATATGCCAGTGCCCCATGCAGTGCCCCAGTCTGGTGAAGGACCCTAAATAGATCTGTCATTATCTCACAGGTACAAATCTCTAAGGGAATGATTTGGGAAAACCACTGCTTTTAAACACTAATGTATATTTTTGGTATCTGGAAGAATTGTTTTCTTTCCCTGAGCCAAACCCCATGAAATGCCCCACAAAAGACCTTGTCTTGGCAGGGAGTCTAAGTGATAGGGATCAGCCATTCATTATCTTCACTGCCACAGAACCTCAAGGCTTATTCTGCAGCCAGTCATGGCAGGGTTCATGGAGAAGGCTGCTTTTTGGAGCACCTCCTGAATGCTGAGGATTTCATAGCTCCTTCATGGCCACAACCCCAGTATAAACAACAGCCATCACTTACCACACGCTTTACAGATGATCCGTGTATTTAGCTGCATTATCCTCACAGCTCATCTCTCCACGTAGCACAAGCACATTTGCATCTGGTCAATATAAAGATTTTATTACTGCTTTTATGTAGATTCATGTGTTGGTTCTAGAAAGAGCTTCTCTTCACTTTTCAGGTCTGTAAATATAAGCAGATTACAGAGGGGTATGTGAGTGACAGGATCAGTTTGCTTTGTTTGCAGCTTTATACTCCTTTAGAGTGATGAGGTGAGCAGGACCCTTCTGGAAGGAGAGGAATATTGCTTTTGTCCTTGGGGAACAGCTGGGGTTGCTCAGGGATGGAGGGTCTCAGAGTGTAAGGGCTGGCAGCAGGAACAGCAAGAGCTGTAACACAGCAGCTGGAGTCCATAGCTCCAATGGAGATGCTGCCAAGGAGAGAAATGAGCAGACATGTTCTTCTCAGAGATGGCAGAAATGCCTTTGAGAAGGTCCAGAAAGGATCCAACACTTTCCAGTAACACAAGAAGTCATAAGTTGCCTTAAATCAATTTTGGAAGCAAGAGCACAATAGGAAGGGAGAGAGTTGCTAGTGAGTCCTTTCAATTCCACTTCAAGGCTGACCACTCTGGATATTCTCTATCTAAAAACATACACCTCTAGTTTATGTCCTAAAAAATCCAGCTTTTGGAATTCAAAATTCCTTGTCAGAAAAAAGTATCAGCAGATCCATTCAAGTATTGGCCAACTGAAAATCCCATTGGATGCTACTTGCACAAGTAGTTAAGCTGTCTACAGGAAAGCTAGACCTGGAGAAAACCTTGTACATCTGAAAATCTGTTTCCCCCAAGGATATAATTTAGTCTAACGAGAGATATTATCTGTGACTCACAAACCTTGCCTCCTTTTTCTCCTTCCATTGTATTGGCCACAGCAGTAGCACCTCTAGGGATGAGCTGATCCTGATTGTTATGTAGATAGACTCATTACTAGGACTGAGACAGTTCCATTTTAAAATTCAGAAAATGGCTTAAAAGGTAAAAAACTTCATTTGTTTTGGAATTTACAAAGCTAGAAGTGATTTGGAAATCTGAAACAGATCATGGTTCACTTTTCACTAATATAAAAAATTCAAAACTATTGGAAAGAAAGGGTTTGTCAGGCTTGTTTTCAAAATTATGAATACCTTTTTAAAATTCTGCAGCAACTGGAAGTGTGTGTATATATGTATTTTCACTGGATGGCAAGGAGATCTCTGTGGAATTAGAAACACACTTCTTCACAGGCTACTTTCAGAACATCTGATTTTATGTTATCTTGTGCCTGCAGCTTCTTGTTACCCTCCATCCCATTAACACCTTTGTGTTTATCTGTAAATGCATACCCAGCATCAATATTTCATTGATTACTTTCGGCACAACTTTTATGGGCTCCATGTTTTAAGTGTTTGGGAAATAAAAGGTAAATTAATAGATGGAAGCTTTCAACAGTTATGCCAGGATAATCTGCTGGACATGCAGTTTAGAAAGCTCTGATGGCACAGCAGCAATAAATGGAGAGACACATCTAAATAATTGCATAAATTGAGATAAGCTATGGAAAGCAAAGCTTGATAAAAGGAGATGCACCATTAAAAAAAAACCCTGCTGATGACTTCTCACAAGCATAATACTAGGACACATGCAGCCCTTAGGAGAACACACACATAGTTCATAGTTTTAAAGTGTGACTTGAAATTAGTCTTCGGTATTAGAAATGTTCTTTAAGTTAAACATGACTGGTCAAATTACCTTGTGAAAAGATTCCTATAAATATCGATGCATGTCAATTTGTACTGATGGTTGAAGAGGAGCGATGGCTTGAGACTGAGGCTCAGGATGTGGAGATGAAATTCCCAGCCCTGCACAAAGCTGCTGTCACCTCAGGGTACTCATCTGATCTTATTTTCTCTTTGTTTCTAATTATAAAATTTAATACTTTTCTCTACCTTGTCCTCCTTACCTATTTATATTGTAAGTACCTTCAGATACCATTTGTTTTCTACTGTAAAATAGCCTTGTGCAATTAGCTTTTTTCTTCATTAAGGAATAGTGAATTTAAACAACAAAATAACACTGCCACTGACATGTTATGCATTCACTGGGGATAGTGAGTGTCAGCATCACTGAGGTACCACTGCCAGCACTGGGAAGACTTTTACTTCTGATGAAATGCCCAACTGAATTCAGTCAAACTACTCAGACTTAATTGCTACTCATGTGTAAAGGCAGGAGAGTCTACTGAGCAGAACAGTTACATGATGATTTTTTCCCTCTGAGTTGCCCACTCAATTAATTTGTCATTCATCATTTTGAGATTTTGTTTACTTATCTTTAAATGCATGGATGGATGGATAGACAGACAGATAGATAGATAAATAGATAGATATGCAAGTATTAGAAATACAATAAATGAAAGTTTTAGTAAGGATTTGGGGACTAGTGGGAGGTTATGGAATTCATGTCTGATCTCCCCCATGTATCAGATAACACATCAAAAGTAAGCAGAGTAAAGTTGGGCATGTGGCATAAAAAAGTAGGAGCAAAAGTTGTACTTTTTGGCTAAGCCATTAGCTGCCTGCATCTAACCTGCTTCCTCTGTCAGTCTCAGGGTATGTTCCGTACCTTGTTCATTGAGTGAAGTCCTACAAAGACCCATGTGGTGAATCTACATGGGAGAAACTGGAATTTATGTAATCATGTTTTCATTTTTGCTGTTTAGACAACCTGCCTCCTGTGTTCCAGGCCCCCTCCAGGCAGCTGCTGACATTTATTGGTGAGAATTTTGTTTACCAGTTAATAGCAGTGGATCCAGAAGGGTCAGCTGTGCTATTCATCTTAGAGGCTGGGCCACAGGATGCCAGGCTTTCTCCTGCTGGCCTTCTTATCTGGAAAGTTGATTCAGAAGAAATGCAAACCTTTGAATTCACTGTGTCAGATGAATGCAATGCACAGAGCAGATACTCTATTGAGGTAAGGAAATGAACACTTTGAAGGAAAAACAAAACAAACCTGTTTATCATGTCATTGCCTTGGTGCTATTGTCATTATAGCTAATAATTTGTTACTGTCCTGAAAACTAAGACTTCAGCTATTTCCTCATAAGTGTATATTATCCAGCACAGCAATAATGATCAATTCATGGAATAAACATCTCTGAGAACATAGAAAATATATATACAAAGAACATGAGGCAGTGCTATTGATTGCTGTTTGAAAGAACACTCTTGCAGAGCCTTTTAATGGTTCATTAATCTGCTTTAAAATTCACAATCTGCATTTCGACTGCAGAAAAAAAGCATATAACATAAAAGACCAAGTTTTAGCTGTAAAAGGGAGATTATAACTCATTCTCAATGATATTTTTAGAGGGTGACTTGCTCTTCTGTCATTACTCCACACTTTAACTTTCTTGGCAGAGCTTATGCATTGCTTTGTCTTTATTGTATAGCCCAACATTAACCCTGAGATAGGATGAGCTAATAAAGTAGGATGCAGACTCTTGACATAAGAACAGTTTTTTGAAAAGAATATTTTTATTCCCAAAGATTCCTATTTTTACTCATCCAAGCCACTACAATAAAAAATACCAATCTGCTGAACTCAGGCAGCAAAGGGGAAACTGGAATCTCAATATAGTTTTAATGGGATAATATCAAACTAGACCTATGTTTAACAAGGTGAGATTATACAGGGGTTTGAATCTGTTGAAATGCTGTTCCCATGCATATGCAAAATAATACTACAGACCTCTCTCCTGAAGAGAGAGACCAGCTAAGGAATTCCACAATCATGTTTCTGCCTGAGAGCCATTTGTAATGTGAAGCAGTAAGAAGGGCAGGCAGGCAAAGCAACAAGATAGTTCATTTCTTCTTTGAAGAATAAGGAACAAATTTTGCCCTCAGATAGTGCGTAAAAACCACTGTTACAGCAAATGGAATTTTTTTCTTTATAAGAAGTTAGAATGTGCCCCTACATGACAAAAAAAATATAATCCCTTTAAAGTCAAGCTTTTCAGTCCAATAAGTAAGTGTGCTGAGTGTAATATCATCTACCTAGACCAAAGAAATTGGCTAGAATTAAGTTTTTATAATAATAGGTAAAATGTTTGCACTGAAATCTGTCCCTTCCTATAGAGTAACAATAGACCTCTCAGCTGTGATTACCTGGAGGAATCTTACCACAGCTCCCTCTTGCCTTCCCCAGGTTGGAGTGAAGCCCTGCAGCTGCCTCAATGGTGGGACATGTGTTACCAATATTAAATTCCCTCCTTCAGTCCAATAAGTAAGTGTGCTGAGTGTAATATCATCTACCTAGACCAAAGAAATTGGCTAGAATTAAGTTTTTATAATAATAGGTAAAATGTTTGCACTGAAATCTGTCCCTTCCTATAGGGTAACAATAGACCTCTCAGCTGTGATTATCTGGAGGAATCTTACCACAGCTCCCTCTTGCCTTCCCCAGGTTGGAGTGAAGCCCTGCAGCTGCCTCAATGGTGGGACATGTGTTACCAATATTAAATTCCCTCCAGGCCTTGGTGAATACCTGTGCTTATGTCCAAACGCATTTGATGGAGACTTTTGCCAGGAAGATACTAATGACTGCAAATCCAACCCCTGTGGCAGCGGAACATGCGTGGAGAGTGTGGATGGCTACTTTTGTAAATGTCCTCCTGGTCTGGGAGGTAACACCTCACTGTTTCCATCTCTGATTTAACTGGAAATACATTGTACCATGGGATATTCTGAGTGCAGCACAAGCACAAGCCTCCTCTTCTGCTCCCATGACTTAGCCTTAGATAGATAGAAAATGGGCAAAATTTAATTATCTAATATCTCATTATCCATGCTCAGTGAAGGAAAAATTACCTAAAACACTGTGCTCCTGAAGTGCCCATGCAAGGAGGCTGTGAACCTCCCTCATCTCAGTTTCCACCTGCTTCTTCCCCATGGATTTTTCCATCCATGAGGTGAGCTAGGAGAAGACTTAGTGGAAGAGAGGAAAGGCAAAGATCCAGGACCTTTTTGCACTCCACGGGATTTTACTAAATTAAGCCAACTGGGAATGAATTATTTTCCTAGGTCTAGGAAGGAAACGTAGATATGGAAACATGCCAAAATAAATTGTCCTTTAGTCCCACTCGAAGCTTCATTAAATTTAAGCATTAGAAAACCACAAATCCATTTGGTTGTCAGACACGCTGATGGAACAAATCTAACCTTTTAAATTGTTCAGGTCTGGCCACAGTGTGATTTTAAGAGATGCAGAGAAGAGGATGATCACTGGACCAAAAAATGTTCTTTTAGAAAAGCAGAATGAAAAGTATGAAGAAGAAGAGCTGGAGAATTAAATGCAGTGAGGCTGAAGAGGAGGATGGAAGACATACAGTGCAAACAGGAAAACCTGAAATGTGAGGGGAAAGGGAGCATCTAATGCCTAACATCAATGAGGGGATAAAATGCTGGTACCTATACTGCAAGTTAAAGTCAGCTTCACTGCATTCAGGACATCTGTGAATGATTCACACATGTGAAAAGCACTTGTGACAGCACCTAGACAACTCCCTTGTGGCCTGCAGACTGGACCCAGCAGAGCCACCAGCCATTAGACTCTGTTGCATTAAGCTGTAGGAGCTGGGCTGAGCTGTTATATAAAAATCCCCAAACCAAACATATGCAGAATGTCTTGAATCCCATGGAAATACTATTTGGGTGAGAACAGGGGAATCTGGGAACCTTTTGTCTGTATTTGGCTAAACACTTGGAAATATACAACGAGAACAATTCTTCATTGTCTGTGAGGAGGTGGATTAAATAAATAAAAAGTCATACAATTCTATGAGTTAATTACTTCTGTGCATTGGCTCCTCCTGTTTGATCTTGTCCACCAGTTTCACACTGTTGCCCTTCTCACTTTATGCTGTACTGCACATAAAAGGAGTGAAATCAAGTTCTATTATTCCAAATAAAATAATCTGCCATAATTACAACACATTGTTTGTAAATTCACATGGAACACATTCTGAAATGTGGTTCTTACTCTTACATAAAGAGCAAGCAGTGAAATACCCAATACTTAAAAATAACATGCTTTAAAACAACATAAAGCTGAGTCTGGAGATAAGGGCATAGGACACCTTGATTGCCAGAGAAATGCTGGGTTTTACTGAACCCTTATTTCTTGCCAGGTTAAATAAAAGTCCATTGTTTTTGCTGTACTTTCCTTGCCAAAAATGCTAAAACACAAGCAGCAACTGAAAACAAGATATGATTGAGTGAAATAGGAATATATCTCAAAGTTTTAATAGCAGGTGAAAAATTGTAAGCAAGTGGAGCTGAAAGCCAGCTGGGAAGTAGATGATTTTACTTCAGGGCAAGTTCTGTGACAACAATAAATGCTCATCCATGATGCTGTGTTTATGTCTCAATTCCCCAGAAAACCATCAATAATCAAATGAGAAGGCAATGCTATAGTGCTCAAGTGACAGCACCACTTCACCATCAAATCTTTACAAATGATAATGAACAGGTAGTAGAAATGAAAAGTTAACTCTTTTGAGAGCTTCTCAAACACCATTGCAGGAGAAGCAGCAGCCCAAGGAACACAGTGTGTTGCTAAGTGGTAGCAGTTCCTGTGCATTGGTGTATCTCAGGCAATATAAGGGTATAGTACAGGAACAGCAGCAAGGCAGGGAGAGAAGCAATGGGAAAATCTGAGAGAAGGATGACTCCAGAATTATTGCTGCTTTAAATTTCTTCAGAGACTTATACACTTTTATCTCATTGAGTGTTCAAGGCTCATTCATTTTTCTTCAACGTTGTTAACAAGATAATGAGAATTC